GTGGCCACAAACATGCCACAATGACCAGCCAAGTGACTTAGGGCAGGACTCTGCGTCACCAGGTAGCCACTGACCTGCAGACGGAGATCAAATGCGTGGGCAATCGATCCATCGACTAAGCCTAGATAACGCTAACCACAAAAACAAGCCCCCTGCCATGCGGGTTTCTTGCCTGCAATCTCAACAGAGGTGTCTTGGTGGTGCAGTGAGTTGAGCATTGGACGACGAATGGAGAGGTCTGTGGTTCAAACCCACCAGCGTTGGCACAAAAGGAAGATGAGGCACTCTGCTTCTGTCAAGACTGCTGGCGGCTTCAGACAGCCCGTGGAGCCGCCCTCCACTGTGGTGAAGGGCCGCAGTGTGCTGGAATTAACTCTGCGGCGGTGGGTTTTCACTGATGCGGTGCCTGTTACACACCCCAGCCAGGAGTGCAGCAGCTCTCAGCGAGGCCTGGGGGTCCTCCCAGTGAGTTATGGAGCCCGAGGGACTTTGCTGGGAGACCCCTGACCTTGAAGCTGGTGTCAGCGGTGAAGGTGGTCTTGTGGACCCTTGTTGTTGTATTTGTTAGGAGCTATCAAGTCAGTTCTGACTCACAGCAAACCTGCGCACAACAGAAGGTCACACTGCCTGGTCCTGCGTCATCCGCACAATTGTTCTTACGCTGGAGCCCCTTGGGGCAGCCACTATGCCAATCCATGTTGCTGAAGGCCTTCCGCTTTGTCAATGCCCCTTTACTTGACCAAGCATCAAATCCTTCTCCGGGTACTGGTCTCTCCTGACAACAGGTCCAAAGTGTGGAAGACGAGGTCTCACCATCTTTGCCTCCAAGGAGCATTCTGGCTCTATGTACTTCTTCCAAGACAGATCGGTTTGTGAATGCTGGTCCCCATAAATGTGTAGTTGGCCAAATATGTGGCCATTCCCTGCTGTGCATCTGCTTCCATCCACTGTGGACAACATCCCTGACAATATCTGTGCCCCTAGTGACTCCCAGGAGTTACGAGCTGGGCTTCAAACCACAAGCTCGCCAGTTTGCAACCGCTAACGACTCCATGGGAGAAAGATGAGGCTCTCTACTCCAGTCTCAGAAACCCACGGGGGCCGGCTTACTCTGTCCCATTGGGTCGACTCGGTGGCAGTGAGGTGCTGGTGACTTTACCAACAAGGTGCTGTGGCTCCAGAGGGCTGGGCGAGCAATGGGGTGGTGGGTGTCGACGCCACGGTAGGAGCTCTAGGGCAGCATGAAGTATCAGAACACCATCTGCCCAGAGCTGAATCCACCTGGGTAAACCTTGCAGTGCCCAAAGACAAGCCTCCTGGGACCCACCGGCCTTTGTCTTGTGCCTGGCCAGCTGGAGAGCAAGGGTGAGGACCACACCCCACAGCTGCCCGGCTGGCTGCAGAGACTTGGGGAGGGGCCTGGGCCGGTCTTACCTGCCTGCGCAGCAATGATGAGGGCCGTGTTCCCCTCGTGGTCCTGCCAGTTGGGATCCATGTGGGGACACTCTGCTAAGGCCACCACTGTGTCCACGAAGCCATGGCAGCAGGCAACAATAAGGCCAGTCTAGAGAGGAAAGGGGAGGCAGTCAGAAGGCAGGGGCTCAGCACGGTCAGGCAATCCCAGGGAGCCCCAGGGGATGGCTGGACAGGGTGCGGAGGGGAGAGCGTGAAGAGCCAAGAGGCATCATTCTCAATGAGCGCACAGCCACTCCCTCCCTGTCAACGTGCCGAGCCCCACGCTGTGCTGGGGAGCTTGCGGCTGCACAGAGGCCTGGCCCCCTGGGCCTGCCTTCCATTGGGGGCCGGCCAGCTACAGTGGACACATGTGGAAGGCTGGGTGTGTGTGGGGAGGCTGTGAGCATAGGGGGCGGCAGGTGGGGAGCTCTGCGTCAGACAGGGGGGCA